CCGGGCCACGTCACAGAAGGAGGAGCTTCCGGCGACAACCGGGCGATCCGACTGGTTGTTAGGAAACGGGCTGGTGCTGAGACTTGGCTTTCTCTGGTACGCCTTAGCATAATCAACGAACAATACTACCAGAAACCTCAATCATCAAAGTGTAACACTTTTTCGGAAAGATTTCTATGTCACATAAAGTCACGTAGGTCAAAATGATGTGGTGAGAATTAGCCCCCCAAATTAGCTGGCACGGTTCGACGATCGAATCTCAGGTAAGCTACCGTGAAGGTTAAACCTTTCAAGCCACGGGACCGATGAACTGATACCAGTTTGATTTGCAACATAAAAACTCCTGCACATCGGTTGACGCCCGCAAGTCACTTACCGCTCACCCTCACTGGTCGCTTAGCAGTTACCATTTCCTTTCAGCGCCTACGCCAGTTGGAAAATCGCCAATTCCACACTTGGATAGAATTTCAAAGACTTTGGAATGAAGTCAATCTAATACTGTGGAGAGCGAAAACTCATCATCGAAATATCAGGCAGGCGATTGATGTGTATGGACGGGATATGCGGGTGGGTTCTGAAGAATTCTTTCGGTAATTGTGCTTCAAAAACTCTGTAAAACCGTTGAAGGACAGACACTTGAAGACAAAGTACTTTCCAGAAGCGATTGTTTCCACAAAATTTTACATTTTTGTGTTGAAAAAAGTGCGCCATGCGGGCAGAAATTTCTGAAAAAAATAGGAGATAAGAATGGACTAAAAGTGTTCTTTCAGAGTGTTCTACGAGACGTGGAAGGCCTAGTATCGTCTGGCAAAAGCAGAGGAAATCCCGTTGGTTTTGCACCAGATCAGGTCTTGAACTATCAGGGCAGTGCAGTCGCCGGAGAGTCGGGTATGCCCTCCTCTGCTGCCGCGAAAAACGTCAAGAGTGGACCGAATTCCATTGTAAAAGGTAAATTACGGGTTTTTTTTGGCATTCACTTGAACTTCTGTAACTCAGTTCATAAAATCGGAATGCCCCTCCCCGTAGCTGAATCAAGTGATTGGCCAAATAGCGGAATGCGTTGTCCACCTTTGGTCCTTAGGTTAGCCGCTGCTTTTGTTATACTGACGGTAAGTGGCACGATATATTGATACTGGTCTTAAATGGTAGCAGGGTTCTTGTCTTCAATGATTTCTTGTAGCCACAACCAAGGTGTTAAACCACTTATTGGGCTTACGTTTCGGCTAGTCGCCTTCGTCAGAGCCTGGAAGTTGAAGATCAGTGATTCAATCCTCATAAATCATTTCAAACTTAGATCTTCAATTTCCAGGCTCTGACGAAGGCGACTAGCCGAAACGTAAGCCCAATAAAGTGATTTAACACCTTGGCTGTGGCTTCAAGAAATCACTGAAGACAAGAACACACACCATGCCAAGGTTCATGGACAGTCGAACATGGGGTAGCAGGATAGCTACATGGTGGGGAAAATGGCTGAAAAGCGAAGTGAAACGGTCAAAAACCTGCAGAAAGCCTTTGTTCTACACGACTCAGAAAGCAATTTCGGACGAGTTTCCCGTTGGCATCATGCCAATAACCGCTACGGTAGATACGACTGCATGTATAGTAGGCATATACATGTAGTTCTCTGCGGACGCTTGGGCGTGTCAGCGCGACGGCGTTTGGCGCGATGCCAACTGTTGTCCATATAGTTGTTCGAAGGCGGCGCGCAATGATCAAGCATAGTATCATATCCTTTCGTATAGTACGTTCTTCCTACTAACTTTTTTTTGTGCAGGCATAGCGGCGTTTCGAACAAGAAGGCAGAGAACAAAGATATGCCAGTGTGAACACTGCATACCTGCCCCATATGGCACGCCCCACCCACACACCACCCCCCAACCCGTCGCGAGAGCAGCGAAACTAAAGTGTATATCAACATCGCACGAGCACCCACACACCACAACCGCTTCGCGTCAATCCCTCCCGCTTCATGTTGTACTTAGCAACCTGAAGCGAATAAGCGAGCACTGAATCAGTAACGGTCATTTCGCAGGCGGGCGGCACGCGCGCTTGGGCCTCATGGGTCGGTATGTGCAGGCCCTTGTAGGGTCGGCCCGGCACGATCAAAACGCCTAACAATAAGCCACGATCGTACGATTTGATGAACACGCCAACTAGCTCTATAAGGCAAGCTTCCTTGGAAAAGGCGGGACCACCCCTCACCTGTTTCGGGGGCCGAAGTTCTGTCGGCTGCTAGGCGATACCCTCAATCCTAACCACGTCTTGGTGATGTTATCGTGCCCTTTGATCTACTTAACCCTGGCAGCACAACAATGGTACCCTACTTTTCTCTAAAGCATTCGCCATATTGCGTCAAACTCACCATGCCCAATCACTCCTGTTCATCAATGACACCAAGTTGCTTCGTAGAATTGCAAGAACATGAAGAACGTCAACAACATGGCTGGGTTTTCGATGGTCACCGGAGCTTAACAGAGAAAACGCATCAAAACGATTCATCTGTTCCAGTGAGTTTGCTCCTCTATGGTTTTTTTCGGAAGCAGAAATTCTTCTTTCTGATTCTCAGCGCTTTATTTGCTTTTAAGAAACCCACTCCGCGCTCAACCTACAAGTCCGGTCCGCAATCTCGAGATGCATTCTAACATTTTGTGGTTTTAACAGTGAGGACGAGGGCGCTGAGGCTGTCATAAACCGAAAGAACGTCACCCACGTACAAGCGCTTCACCCATCTGGAGGTCGGGATATCCCAGTAGCCCTACATCTATGAGCAAAAGTTAGCGTTTATTTCGTGTGAGGCCAGCCTTTACCGTCTCCTTCGTCTTCGAGCTACTCTTCCCATTCTCTCATCCTTGCTGGGGCTACAGCATCTCGCCCTCTGGAATGTTCTTCCAATCTTGGGTCTTATTTAGGTTTGCGACTCCTTTCTCCGTGCTAGTCAGCCAGCGTTCAGAAACCCATAATTGGGCCCATTCACGAATTGTAATCGCGCAATGTTCCTCAAAAAGTCGAACCGACGGGTCGATATTGAGAATATCTCCTGGTGTAAAATAATATCAACCATTTTTTTACAGGACATCACAACGAAAACGGCCAACAGAAACTGATGAATTGGTGAACATCGATGATGAAATTGTTGTGTGAGTGCTTTATAATGAGCTCTTTTTTGGTATTGTTTTTTCTGCAAATTGCCAGGTGGGAGGGTTAAAAAATTCCTCTATGGGATCGTAGGGTTATGGAATTCCCGTAGAGGATGCATATTGAGTAGTAGGATAGATTTCCCTACTCCACTCAGGGCGCAGTGTGGTTGAGGCGTTCTCTGGGTCTGTTTGAACCGTTCTAGAAAGGAGATCGTTAACTTGCTACGTGAAGCCGGGCTTTGTTAAAGGCAGTCGTACTTGAAGCAGCGATGGAGGGTGGTTTGTGGGGATCCAATTAGAGAATCGGATTTGCCAGAACGATCAAAAAGTGTTTCTCTTTTATCTGTAATTTTTTTGTTTTCCAACTGGTCGCCAACTGTGAACAATACCTTTTTTTTCAATGATTTTTCGAAGTGTGTTTTCAGGTGTGATATGGTGCAGAACAAACCTTTGGGTTCGAAAAAATGCTCTGCTCTGAAGGAAATTCGTCCTCAAGTGGCTCTGTCGTCACGTTCCAAGCAGGTGCCTGCGAGCACACCTTCACTGTCCGCCTTCGAACCTGTCACAGCGAAACGGACTCGCGTCGAAGCTGCAGTTACCATTCACTGTACATCTTCTGGTACCTTTCTTTTTATATCGGGGGCACATTTCGCGATCGTCCAATGGGTAAAACCCCTTCCTTGTACCGAGTTCAGTCTTGTTCGCTGGGATGCTG